TTTTCATCTGATATCCAAACACTCATTAAACATTAATTTCCTTTGAATTTTCTTCATGAATTATTAATGAGTTTGAGAAGTTACTTTTTCTCCTTCACATTCTTCGGTAGATACTTTGTGTATTGTTTTTAGTAATTGGAGAAATAGGAGTTTTAGCCTTACTAAATATTTATCAACAAACAATAATATTTTATTAAAATTAAATTATGATAAAACAAACAATAAAGTAACTTTAACTGTCAATAAAACAACACAAATTTTTTCCATGCTAAGTAGTTTTAATGGAAAAATAATTGTTTTATGGTTAACAGAAAATTTTAATACAAACATTACAAAAGCTTCAATAAGTAACTACAGCTCAACATTAACTATACCAGCTGTTCAATACAATGTTAATCAACGTTGGAAGTTTACAACTGAAGATGGAGTGTTAATTAGATTAATGTATTCTCCAAAGTTTTACGACACTGAGTCTGAGCAATTTCACAAAATAATGCTTCAAGAAAAGTTAAGTGGATCTTATATAGAGTAAATATAAATGAAGGATATCTTTGAATTTAATCACATAGACAGGTCTCTGTCAGAATCAGACGTCACAACTCTCAAAGACTTTTACAAACATTATCACAAGAAATACTGGTGTTTTAAGAAATCATACAAAAGATATAAACTTCTTGATGAAACACTGACACTGTCTGGAGGAGGATTAGTGGTGATAGGAACTATCACTGGAGGAATAACACTAAATCCAGTAATACTCGGTGTGATAAATGGTGCTGGGGTGGTTGTGGCAAGTATTGCAAAAATGAAGAATTACAAGAAGAAAATGGAAATGACGCAAATCGCATTTACAACGTATGAAAAAGTTCTCGTAGAATTGAGATCAGCTCTAAGGGGTGATGAGTTTAACAAGCAAGATTTTATCGATCGAATGAAGCTGATAGATGAAATGATAATTGATCAAACTCCTCTAGCAGATAGATTTGCTAGTAGGTATAATAAAAAGTTTAAATAATGGTTCAAAGATTAAATATTAACTAATATATAACCTAGGATCTTAGCAACATCCTTTCCTCGGAACCAAATATTTTGTTTATTGTCAATATTTCGATATTAATGTAAATATCGAAATTAGATGTTTTTCTCAATTCTATAAATAACTTTATAGTGTTTATTTAGTGTTTCTTTTTTAATAAATGCTCTTGTACAATACTTACAAGGAATACGAACACCAGTCATATATTTATGGATTAGCTTGCTTATCTTATCATAGTCATTGCTGAGTATAAATGCATAATCATTATTACGATACTTCTCTTTCATCTTCAGTTGAGATGCTGATACGTGGTAATTATTAGTTGGTGATTTAAATTCAATACAGAGACCTTTATAATCTTTGTGATAATCAAGTATCATTAAATCTGGTTGACCTTTCTGATAACCCTTTTTATATGAATCTAGTCTCTTATCCTCTGTTGTATCTTGATTCTCGCCAAGTCCGGCTACTAATAGAGGAGCTCCCGCGCGCGCGAAGCGCGCGCGCAGCGGAGCACCATGGGTAAGAAAATTTGGTAAACTATCCATCCCAGAAAATTTGGTTATGACGTAGCGTACGCCCGTCCGTACACACACTTCATGTAAGCCGATGTCAAATGTCACAATAGATCTTGCACAACTTGACTAGCCTCTTAGTTATGTAAGCCATCCGTATGAGTACGATTAGATTGACAGCTGTCAAAATCAGACATCCGCTGACAATTATCACATGACCGTCTCGCGGGCTCAGATA